TGCCAGCCGGGCTAGCAGAGTTCAGTTTTCCGTTCTTAAACCTTTCTAATGAATACACGGTCTTTCTAGAACTTGCATCCTGAATACACAAAAACTGTCCGGGAACCAGTTCTCATCAAGCTCCAGATTTAGAGAGTTGGAATTGTTCCAGCAGTTACCCGTTTCGTTTGGTGGGATCTTTGCGAGTATTTCGGTAACGGAAAATTTTTTGACGATTTTCAAAGAAGTTGCTTTGATTTTTTTGTCATATTTTTTTTTTTATAATACTCGTAATAATCACTGCGGAGGTTTTTTTTTAGTTTTTAAAATGCAATAGGGCCATTATGTTACCTTTGAGTAATTGAATTTTACAAACCTTGATAGTGTTTATGGCTCGTTCCCCATGTAATGCCGTTATTGCTTAGTGAACCTCTTAAAGAGTCTTTGATACTTTGAAAATGCTGTCAGTTGGTTGGCTTGATTTTAGTTTTACATATAGATTACGTGAGGTGATTTCCTGAATTGGGTTAACCTTGAAGCATGACTAGTGAAACTGTCCAGGAAGGCACATCTCTTGTTTTGGAAGAACCACTAGTAGTTGAGTCGGAATCAAAAACCGTAAAGGAGGTTTCAAAATATAGTTTTGTAAGTTTATTGGTTCTTTGAGAATTTCATGGTATTTTTTTGTAACATACCTAAAGTTCACTTCTTTTTTGTTGTATTTTCAGATCTCCGATGCGATAACGTCAAATCCGTACTTTAATGCAGGAGCTGGCCTCACAGGTATTGGACTTGCTCTAGCACTTTTGAAAAAAACTTTATCAGCATCTACAGCTTTTCTTAGACGACGTTTCATAATTTCGCTGGAAATGGATAGCAATAATGTGTCAGTAGGAACTTGGTTCTGTAATAATCTTAACGCTAAAGCGGCCTTTATAATTATTTTAAAATGGTTTACATTCCCTTCAAGTGAGGTTTTTCTTCTTGATTGCAAAAATTTTCACTTTTAAAATTTTGGCTTTGCTAAGGGTTATTAAATTTTAAGTTGGGACAAATGAGTGTTTGTTTTCTTCTACTTCATGTGTGATATAGTTTATGCTAAGAATTAATTGGTTTTTTATCAAATGACGTTTAAAGTTCTGGTGTACATTTTTTAACCATAAGTTCCACTTAAGTTATTTTGGCTGACATTTACCTGTTTGGGATTAAATAATATTGTAGCGCGTTCCCTTGGTTATTAAATTACATTAACCGAAGAAGCACTCATCAAACGTTACGCTTATCTGCTCAACCACAGGTATTTCAGTCGGAAAGTGGGCGAACAACATGTAAATTCAGGTACTTTCCTGGCCAAGGCATTCATTACTTCGTGTGCGATAACCGATGGATTCAGGTTTTTTAAACATTTTATTTAAAATCCACTTTTTTGTTTCCACAACCTAATCAGTAGTAATATTTTTGTCCCCTCTATTGATAATTTCCCTTTTAGGTAAATATACAGTTACGTTATCATTACTCAAATCATTATTTCTCTACTGATTTTTTGCTTTTATTGTTCTAACTTACTATGATATCTAGATTTTTTTATGTGCTAGTCTCTCCTATATTACTAAAAAAGTTTTCGCGGTTTTTATGAATATCAGTTTAGCTGACTTTGTTATTCGAAGGAAAAGCGTTATTGTGAATGGTTTAGGTGGATAGGCAAAGGCAAAATCAAGTCTTTAGTTCCGGAGGGAACTTGGCACCATTCGAGACGGTAACGCTAACAACGTTGGGTATGCCGCACTTACCAACTAATTAAAACCAAGGACTAATGAAAAATTTTCCAGCCTTACTTTTGTAGTAAAGGATTTTTTGTTTTTGGTCAGTGCGTATTGGGAAGAAATTGACTTTCAAATTAAAGTTCCCCACAGCGTTTCTTTTTCAACATGCTGATTCATTCAGGCACCGATGTTCGCTTTTTCAAAAGGATGCTGGAAAGAGCCAGTGAAGAGGCGTTGCAAGAGGTTGGTTTTGGTTAATTGAAATGGATATTCTCTTAATCCACGAAGAGGACGTGATGATAAGATAATACTGAAGATTTAAAAGTTTTAGTTAGATACGGGTCTGATAATGTATAATGCTGTTGGGCCTGAATGGCGTCGGTATGGAAAGCCACTCCGTAAACGTCCTCTGAATTCTGTAATTTTAGAAAGAGGACTGTCGAAGAAAATTCAGATGGATTTTGAAGAATTCTGCAGATCAGCGGAATGGTGATTACTTTAAATTTTATTCTTGTTTTGTTATAATCTTTTATTTTTTTGAATCAATCTGTTTTTTTTTTCTTTGGGAAGGGTTTTTTGCATTAGATAAGAGCAGTTCTTTTGGAGTTATGTCCAATACAAATTTTGGATTTTTGACTTACGTGATGTGGTCATGTAAACCATTTGGAGTTTCTGCAGGAAAGCGGTGTTTTTCTCGCTTCGTTTAAATGAGGCTGGAGGTATTACAAGTGATGGTGAACTATGCTTGTGATATGCTCGAATGTAATTAATTTTGCATTGTATAAGACATCAGTTACGGACTTGACCAACGACGTCGTTAGAAGTTCCTCATCCAGTGGAAGTGCCCAAAATTATTAGTATAACAGCAAAACTATCGCAGTATGCACGGTAAGGCAGATAAATCCGATAAAATGAGGCTTGAATAGTGTTGAGCGGAGACTCACAGTGGCTGAGTTTCAACAGCAGTACGCCACTTTGGGGATATAATGGCCATTTGAGACCTAGGCCTTGTTCATCACCACGACGAGATGAAGTGAGTTTGTAGACTAGAATTGGTTAGCTCAAGAAGCATTTTACTGTCCTGCCTTTTGTAGCGCGTTCTTCTTTACGTTACTTGCTTACTTCTAACTCCTTGTCTTAGCCAAAATGGTCATAATGGAGCTTAAAAATGAAATCTGTTCGACTCGATAACTCTGCAAAGTTTAAAAAATGTACTGAGGTAATGACCAGACGCATGGGCAGTGTCAGAGATGATTTATTGATGTTTAAGCACGAACGTTATTATTTTTGTGTACTTTAGAGCACCGACCAAAACGGTTTCAGTTACAGTCATGTCAGATATGGCTTTTTCTTTGCGAACTTAGGATTTTCCAACAATAGTCGTTTGTTAATTAGTTGTCTTTTAGCAGGATTATCCCTTCGGGTGAGATCTCGTTTTTTTCCTTTGTCGCGACATGAGACAATGCGGAAGAAGGGCATTGGAAAAGCAAAGCCTATAGGAAGGCTGGAAAAGAAATGTAGAAAAGCTGGGTGTTTAAACCTTTTATGATTTAAACCTTCGGTGTTTTAATAAGTAGTTAAAATCCCGCTTGTAGAGAATGAGAGAAAAACCGTTATAAAATTTTTTGTTATTGGCAGATATGAAATGGTAAACGGAGTTGAAATTTGGATTGGAACTAATCAGTTATAGCTTCTAGTGAAAGAAAGTAGTTGCATTGAGAAGAATCAAAAGAAAAGTGAAAAAAGTAACTTACGTTAACATGGAATAGCTAGTGAATATTTTTTGCGATAAAAAACAGTATTAGATGTCATAGCTGTCGATTTTGAAAGGCCAAATAGAACTGAAACGAAAGGAAAAGGCTTTAAAAGATAACGGAGAAAAAATTTCTTGTCAAAGATTTGTCGCCTTGCCAGTTTTATGTTTTTGTTGCTAAAGGTGATTCTAGGAAACGTACTCCTCTACAGTGAGGGCTGCCCTTCATAAGGTTTTTTGTGCAGAGGGAGCTCTTTCGGTTTGGTGGCTTCAACTTGCTCTCCAATTAAGAAGATAAATACTAATCGTAATAAAAGCGGCTGTGTTTTATTACAATCAGTAACGAAGACGGGGCCGCCAGTCTGAAAGAGAGCTAGGCAAAGTTAAAGGGAAGAGAAAAAGGGAAATAAATGGGCCGAAGATTGAGAAAAAAAATGGGAAAAACATGTTTCTCCTTGTAGGGCAGTCTCATTATGCTGCGTATTTTTGGAGTGGATGTGTCTTAAATGTGGACAGTAGCTAAACTTTGGCAATTTTTTTAATTCTTTTATGGCTGGACTCGTACGGCACGGGCTATCTGCCTTCTGCTCTAGTGTTCTGTATTTTTCGTTATGTAATTTTATTCTTTACTTTGCTCTCTAGTAGAATTCGCTTGTTCATATATATTGGCTTAAAGCTTTATGACGAACTGCACTTACCGTTCAATTAGTTAGATAATAAGCGGATATGTGAACAGATGGATTTTATCAGAACAAAAAATGGTGACGAATTTATTCAGGAATAAATATATCGCATTAAAAAATAAAGAGTGTTATACAGGACATGGGTTTATGTATACAAGGATTTAAAAAAAAGCAATGCTGCAGCATGGCTATCATTCAATTGGGTAATTCATTTACAGTGGAGATGACACCGCGAAACAATGCATTACCGCTACCTCTACAAAACTTGTATAGGGAATGCTTTGTTTGAGAGGACAGAAGATGGAATTCATATTGGTACTTGCAGCAGTTTTTCGTGATATATACAAATAATGAAGGGAGTATATCTCCAATTAGGTCCAGTGTTCATCTTGTAACTTCAATTAAACTTTCATTTTTTTAAATTCTTATGTATCGTTAAGGTATGCGAAACGTGGAGTTCCTTATCGCAGAGGATATTTGTTTTACGGGCCACCTGGAACTGGGAAAAGCAGCTACATCACAGCGTTAGCCAGCCATTATGGTTTTAGTATATGCAGCCTCTCCCTCAGTGAAAGAACACTCGATGATGAGCGTTTGAAGCATTTGTTGAACACTCCTCCTTCAAATGTAATTTGATTGTTTTATATGATATGTAAACCTACTATTAAATACTTGTAATTCCAGAGTTTGGTTTTGCTTGAGGATATAGATGTGGCTTTTGCCCCACGAGACGTAGTCCAGAATAGCAAAGCATATGAAGGTTTGACGCGGTATGCTATTTTTTGCGCCAGGATGAATGCCACTTTACCATTAATTTAGGAATAGCAATTTCAGGAGGATTATTTGTTGACACCAATATGATTTGACTGTTTAGGGTTACCTTTTCCGGGTTGCTTAATGCAATTGACGGTGTGGGCTGTACCGAAGAGCGTATCCTTTTCATGACAACAAATCATGTTGAAATTCTGGATCCTGCACTAATCAGACCTGGACGCGTTGATGTAAAGTGTAATTTCGGACTTTGCACAACAGATATGATATTTCAGGTTAAAGAAGTGAATATTCTCTAGCTTAAGTAGTGTGTTCTTGGTTCAAAAGGCTTTTATAAAAATTTATTTTGTTTATTTAGATGCTTGAACATTTTTACGGTGAAACTTTGGATAAGAAATTACTGTCTCGTTTTCAACAGGACTTAAAGTCATTAGACTTGCAAATTAGTCCGGCTCAACTTCAAGGGCATCTCTTACTGTACAAAATGGACCCGTTCTCAGCCTTGAGTAATTTGAAGTCGTTGTTGTAAATGGATATTACATTATAGGGATCATAATGTCTGCGTTGTAATTCCAAAAATTACAATTTATATTTAGGAATAGGCTTTAGTTGTTTAGTTTTCTTGACTTCTGACGTTGGATGTATAGTGTTTAGTGTATTGTTGTATTGTTATTTAACTATATAAATTCTAAGAACTGTAGAAAATCGAGAATTAGTAAAAGTATTCTTTATATAAATGGAAAATATTCTGTACTTCCTGCTTTAACGAGAACTGGCCAACTACATTAAACTAGCGCAGGTTAGAGTTGTTTTCAGCAAAAAGCGGTACTTGTATGTGCTTCTGACGGGTGAAAAAAACATTGATTGAGTTTGTTTAGCTGCTGGTTTTTTTCCTCTAAATTGTTGCCTGCAAGGACTCTCGATTATAAATGGAAACAAAAATATGAGCTGAATAATATTTTTAACGTTTAGGTCTTTACTTTTAGGTTTTGGCGGTTTGTTTTTCGATTCTGCGAGTGCCTTTTTTGATCGCCATAATATTTTCAAATTTGCTTTTGAATTTTTTAGGTTGCATTTTTGAAGTTGGGCGATTTAAAACAGTCATTATCAGCGGTACAGATGTGTCACTGTTGACGGACGGTTACTAGAAATTGCTAAGAATCTCGATTTCACTGTTTATTTTAATCAATTTATTTTTTCCCTGTTACAGTGTTCTCTTTTTATAGTGCTTTTATATTACAGATAAAGGTGGATCAGTTGTTTTTATGACTTTAACAGGTGTTATCTTATCGTATTGGTTAAGTGTACAAAGGGAAAAGCTGCATTGTTTTAGGAAAATGACGTCTTTTCCAATCATAAACATCTTTTAGTCATATTAATATCGGACTCTATTAATCAGTGTTTACTACATTATGCAGTAAATGAAGCAAAAAGATGATGCACTAATTATCAGCAGTTACTGGAATACAATAAGAAGAGATTAGGTGTTGAACAAGAATACTGTTTATATAATTCCTAATTTCAAAGGCTTTAAGTGTTTTAATTTGTTGTTTGAGTTCAATTTATTAATTCTGTTGTTTTCAGCCGTTTTTATTCATTGATAAAAATAAAGATCAAGAAAATCGTTTAAAATATGTACTGTGAAATAAAAACTAAGTAGAGTTACGGATAGAGAGATGAAAATACTGTGCTAAATTGAAAAAAAAGTTGAAAAGGTAATTATCGCCTTCCCCACTTTTTTTTGCTGCTGCTGCTGAACAAATTTTTAGTAAGCCGTTTATATTTGTTGATTTTTCGAAAAAGTTGAGTCGTCTTTGGCTGTTATTGGACTCAGAAGTTGCGAGAGGAATTTTTTTTTTTTTTGCTCTTATAGTTGTTGTTTGATTTTCACTGAAGCAAAAAAACAATGAAATTATGGGCGACGAAGAAGGTGCTAATACACGGACACAGAATTTTAACCGGACCATAGCAGATCAACAATTTGCGTTTTTGGGCAACGTGTAGAGTTTTGGCGAAATTTTACCGTTCCCTTCGTTGGCTGTCATTATTGCAGCAAATTTTGCTTTTATCAAAAATTTTTTTGGTTGTTTTTCATAAAACGAGCAGCTAAAGAGCATTTAATTATCAATTAAACAAAAAAAAAAAAATTTTACCCTTTTTTTTTTGTTCTTTTTTTTTTTT